AAAAAAAATTACTGAGATAATCACAGAGATATCTTTTTTAGGACCTGGACGCAGACCATTACGCTATGGACAAATTGAAAAGGCGTGTCTTGGAGTATCTTGCTGTACGTCAACTAAAGAATACCCTTCGTGGTCCCATTTTATGTTTTGTTGGACCACCAGGAGTTGGCAAGACAAGTGTGGGCAGATCCATTGCAAACACATTAGGGCGAGAGTTCTACAGGTAAGTTTTATGATTTCTTAAAAATATAATATTTGTCCTGTGAGCAAAGCAGCCTTAGCTGACTACTACTACTTAGCTAATCTGAAACAACCTTTCATCATTTCCAGGATTTCTCTTGGAGGAATATGCAATCAATCTGACATAAGGGGACACCGAAGGACATACATTGGTTCTATGCCTGGCCGAATTATTCAAGGGCTAAAAGTTGTTGGGGTTAATAATCCTGTTTTTCTTCTTGATGAGATAGATAAAATGGTAATCACATCACCCACTACTGCTAGTTGTTTGGAATTTTTGACTATTGATGCTAACTTGTCAATACTTAACAACTGTATGAACTAGCTAAGCCTTTACATCTATTTTTGCTTATCATCTTTTGCAGGGATCTGGAATTCATGGTGATCCTGCTTCTGCTCTTTTAGAAGTGTTGGATCCAGAACAAAACTGTAGTTTTGTTGACCATTACCTGAATGTTCCCTTTGACTTGTCTCAAGTTATGTTCATTGCCACAGCAAACACAACTAAGAGCATTCCAGCACCTCTCCTTGACAGAATGGAGCTAATTCATGTGCCAGGATATACTCAGGTTGTTTTTTTCGTGTTATTTTAAAAATATTTTTTATCATGTTATTATGTGTTAATTAAGTGCAAGTTGGTCTAATAAAACAAAATTTTACATTTCAGGAGGAAAAGATGGAAATTGCAGAAATACACTTACTTCCTAAACAGTTGAGAGAACATGGACTTGATTCTAGCCACATGGTACTGCCTCAAGATAGCTTAAAAGCATTAAGTAAGTCACTGAGTTTTTTGTTGTGTGGGTATTAGGTGGGGCATTGAGGCTTTGCTGTGTTGCTGCTGTTGCTACTGTTGCTTCCAGCTACTTCTGGGTAAATAGAATTGGTCAACATTGTTACATTTTACTTTACAGCTGCTCAGTATACGAGGGAAGCTGGTGTGAGAACTCTGGAAAGGAAACTTGGAGCACTTTGCCGAGCAGTAGCGGTGCAAGTGGCTGAAATGAAATTAAAAAAGACTTCAGATGACCCGAACATTGATAGTATCACTGATGAAGCTGTAAATGATATGAGAGGTAGTGATACATTAGATGGTTCTGTAGATGTTGCTCCCTGTGCCATACCTCCACAGCTTCCAATAATTCTTGATGAAGCTGCTCTTGAGGATATTTTAGGGGTAGGAGTGCCTAAACAACTTTAAAAAAAATACTATATGGTTTTATATGTTGATTCGATATGTAATTTTTAATTGTGTGTCTTCTTGAAACTTTGTTTGATTAGCCGCCAATCTATGACAGTGATGACATTTGGTCAAGACTTGGAGTTCCAGGAGTTGCTGTTGGCCTTTCAGTTTCTTTAGCTGGTGGGAATGTGATGATGGTTGAGGCCAGTAAAATGGAGGGTGATGGTGAAATTGTGCTCACTGGTCAATTGGGAAATGTCATGCAGGAGTCAGCTCACTTAGCTCTCAATTGGGTTCGAACTGCATCTCGAGAGGTATTTTCATCCCTTTTCCTTACTCGTAACTTAACTTAGATCTAACTCATATCAAACCCTTTATGTTATGCTTTCATTTCATTTCAGTATGGTCTAAAACTTGATGGAGAAATGATGTCACACACAGATATCCATATTCATTTCCCTGCTGGATCAGTCGGTAAGGACGGTCCATCAGCCGGTGTAACAATAGCTACTGCTCTTGTCTCTCTTTTCTCTGGCCGCCCTGTTGCATCTGATGTTGCTATGACTGGAGAGATCACACTTAGGGGCATTGTTCTACCAGTGAGTCATTTACAATTTCAAAGATATTCTTTTGCTTTTTTTAAAAAATCTTATAATGGTCTCTAACTCACCCTACTAATATTTGTTTTGTTTTGGAAGGTTGGTGGCATCAAAGAAAAAGTTCTTGCTGCTCACCGTGCTGGTATGCGCAGAGTTATCATTCCTAAGAAATGTGAAAAGGATTTGGTGGATGTCCCAGACAGCATTAAGGTAATCTTTCGAATGTGTACCTCAACTGCATACCATGTATTTTCTTGCTTGTGTTGCACTGACTTTTTTTTTCGGTTTTCTTTTTTAGAAGGATCTCTTTATTATTCCCGTGAGTCATGTGGATGAAGTGCTTCAGGCTGCTTTCGAAGGAGGATTTCATGCCAATGTGCAGTTAGACCAAGTCAGGGGTGCTATTACTAGTAAACTCTAAAAAAATAATTGAAAAATATTTATATTAATTAAATAAGTAGTAATTTTACCACATAGACACAAATATGCATGGGTTTAGAATATTTTCAAATGGTGAAGACATTCCTTGATAGGTTTGTTTTCTAATGAAAGTCAAAGAACATTTCAAAAATATGTTCATACTTAGTTTAATGTGATTTTTTCCTTGAGAGTGAAAGAAGTAGTTACCTTTTTTTTACTTAACCTTATGCTACACATAGCAGAGGTGTTGATGAGAAGTTTTAATTGGACTCATATTTTTACTTAATTGACGAAACCTGAGGAATAATTTTAAATATGGATTGGCTTTGTTTACATATTATGTAGCTGAAGTGCATCTGCATCTTGCCCATGATCTTACATTTACGGACTTTATGGATCGTGTCATGAAAAGACATTGTCAGTGCTTCAATTTATGTGTATGTGTAAGATTTCATGGTACTCTGTAAACGAGAAAATGTGCAATTTTAATGCCATCAATGCCTAAGTTTGATTAATCTTGGAAAGGGGTATGATTTCAATATGTGATAATAACATTTATGATTTATATTTTTGTTGATATAATAAAAATCTTTTTCTTCGTTTGATTATTTGCGCTTGTTTCCTGTATTTCTCTTAGTTCTTCCTGCCTATGTGGCTTTCATCTTTCGTTCTAGACTGGGCTCTGGCTGGAGTAGATAGACCCTACCGCTACCGAGCGAGCCGAGGGAATCACACATTCAACCGGAAATGCCTCACTTTCTGGACGTAGTCCATGTTGCAGCCTAGAGATGGCGCCACTTTGTGGGTAGCGTGCGCAACTATGCTGCTTCGACTGCCAGTATTTCAACTGGACTTGTACACTGCTGCTTGAAACAGCATGGCTCCTCTTAAAAATTGCTGGCTAACACCTCTAGTCTGCCCGAAAATAACGTCTACGCCGAATGCATCCCGGAAAAACTGGGAGCATTTCCGTGCGAGCGCCGGTCGCGAGTGGGTGAATATACTCCACGCGCGGGCCTGGTGCATCCGGGAGAGCATGTGTCTGTCTCAGTCCAGCTTGTGGAGCGGCCGCGCGAGATCGACAAAGACAGACGCATTCCTCTTTGTTTCCCGAAGCGGCCCCGGTGGTCGACCGGGCGCCACTACACCCAGTAAACTCGCCCTTCCCC